CCCTTAAATATAAGCACGGACTATGAATACCTGGCTTAAATCAGGTGACTCAAAGCTAAATTCTGATTGGCTCTCGTGAGCAAACCAGTAGAAGAAATGGAGTATCGTGTGCCGTTGGACCCGTTGGACCGTGGAGGCGTGGACAGCCATGACGCGCACGTACTACTTTGTTTACCTAACAAGACATGGCGGGACTCCTGCCTCACTTTTCATCTCGAAAGTAGCAGAAATCTGTGCTTACTATTGTATACCCGGCTTTATACTTCTGGCCTGTATTTTTCTTCACTTCGAGGCCTACGGTCAACCATCCTGATTGATACCTAGCCCCGTGTATTCAATCTGCGGCTGTGGCCTGACAGTTGATAGAGAAACAGTGCTGTAAAGAGCCATTTTTCAGTATATTTGACTTACACACGCATGCATGTCCCACGCGCTACTACAAACGCTTATCAATTCCGTGAAACTGTCAAAATCATTCTGTACGATTAAGAATATGCGTACATACACGTTCGTCAAATAAAAACATTCATGCAGCGTTACCTTGAGAGAACAGTTTCTTTGAGCGCAGGCTGCTGTCCATCCTGATGAGGAAATGAGGACATCCCCGTCCCCGAGAGTCTCCCGCGTAGTACAGTCGATTTTCACGGCACCCTCGTAATCGTTGCTCCAAAATTACATTGCAACATGCAATGTAAAATCAACGATCTGCCCGACGAGCTGTTGGAGTATATTCTCAGCTTGATACCGCCTTACAAGGATCTCCAGGAGTGCAGGCTCGTTTGCAAACGGTGGTACCGCGCCACCAAAAGTACGTACATTTCCTTTACATTAGCCTTCGCGTACTCATTTGCATGTCCAATGCATAAATGTTATGTAAAAGCATTGGAGTACACAAGGGCCCATATTCTGAATCCTCTTTTATTGATGGAAGCGCCCGGAAAAGAACCTTCCAGCCAATGAGAATCCTTCAAAGCCAAATTTTATTAGCACGTTTAGCGATAAAAGAGGATTCAGAATGTGGGCCGTAATGTACATTCGACGTGTATCTTGTTGACCAGATGTGATAGACCACAATGAAGCCCACTTCCAAAAGTCCGTCGCCTTTGGCTCCTTGCTGTGGAATTCGTTGCCTGTGCACTGGATATCCAGCATCGCAAAGAGACACTCGCATTCTGCCTGCATATACGGCAATTCCATGTACGTCTTTGGCGGTTGCACCGCTACGTGGACGACGTTCAATGACCTGTGGCAGCTGGATTTGGGCACGAGGACGTGGGTCAGACCGATCACCATGGGCAGCTATCCGTCGCCTAAAGCTTGCGCCACGATGCTTTATTATAAGAACAGCTTGATTTTGTTCGGAGGATGGTCTCATCCGTCGCCATATCCGTTACTTCAGGTGACCGTTTGACGAGAAGATGACTAAAACTTTATTGCGTCTCGGCATATACAGCCAAGAAGTGGGACTTGGGTTTACAGTCACATACTTGACCCATTCATACCTTTACTATCCGCACTCTGACCTAATAAAAATCCTACTACCCTTATTTTCTGTTTTCCCTAAGCTTCTCTCTCTTCCTCAATCATTCCCCATCTTGTCCTTTCATCTTCTTCCCAGATTGTTGTGGTTTTTCTTCCTCGTTTCCTTCTTATTCTTCATTTTGTATCCTTGTCCTTCCAATGCTCTGTACCCTTTCACTCCTTTTCGTTTCCTTCTACTTCACCGTCTTGTGCTTTCCTCTTTTTCCAAGCTTGTGATTTTTCTTCCTCGTTTCCTTCTTATTCTTCATTTCTTATCCTTGTCCCGTCCTTCCAATGCTCTGTATCCTATTTTTCCCTTTCACTCCTTTTCATTTTCCTTCCACTTTACCGCACACCGCTTCAGCTTGTTGCCCTGTCAAGAAGTGGTAAATGGAGCATATGTGTCCTTTCCTTATTCTTTTCTTTTTGTTTCCTTGTCCTGTTCCACCAATATTCCATACTTTCCCTTACCATTCCGTTCCTTTTTGTTCTTTTTCGACTCCCCCTTGTACCACTTCAGCTACGTTATATTTATATTAAATATTATAAAAGCGTTCTTTTCGATTAAATTTATATGATCGAATCATGATCTAGAAGACAAACGCGTTGTAATGTTATACAAATTATTTTACAGCTTGTATTACTTATTTTAGTCACGATTATTTGTATTGTGATAATTAAAGAAAATATCATACAGGGTGGGCTGAAATACACAGTGTAACTGGGAAGGGAGTGGCTCAAAATAAGTGATGGAATGAATTTTTCCGAATACAGTCCTCATTTTCGAGAAGAGGAAAAGTCAGTCAAGCGTTCTTTGTATAATGAAATATATCAAAAGAGACAATTTTTTTTCAGCAATGGAAATTATTTAACGAATTACATATATACTCTATAAAATCAAACAAGTGGACTGCTATAAACACGTTAGAGACTCCACCGCCAACGTCCGCACATTCGGCAACAATACATAGGAACTTGATGGTCGTTTTTGGTGGCGTCAGCAATGGGTTCAGGTATATTTGTAAAAAATTACATACATATGGACGGAGAAACGAGACACGCGTGTGCATATATTTACGTACAACATTGTTTGTTTTATAACAGCACCAATGATGTATGGTGCTTAAATTTAGACTCCTACATCTGGCATAGACAAAATACATCGTACTTGAAGCCGCAGCCACGTTACGGCCAGTCACAGGTTGAACTTGGGGAGAAGCATCTACTTGTGCTTGGTATTCTTAATTGTTCTCAAGATTACATATTTTGAAATTTGAAATGTTAATTTAACTTATATAAGTAACACTAGATTGAGAAACTTCCATTAAAATGTTAGAACAATTAGATAATTATGTTTAAAAATATACAGGAGGTTGCACAGGACCAAATGCTGCTATTAATGATGCTTGGTTGTTAACGATGGAAGGTGTGTGTTGGACGTGGAGGAAAGTCAATATGCACAATACAGAATGGGCGCCAACACGTATTTGGTGTCATCAAGCTTGTAAGGTAGTATCTAATTTTTAGTTAAAACCATCAACGTGTGTAACAAAAGTGCCTAGCGTTTTAAAGGGCCATTGTTGGACACAAGTTATTTAACAAGAGTTGTTCAATTTGAGCAATCGCTTCAAGTTTATCGCCACTTTTCGGAAATACCCTGTGCATGTATTGCTAGAGCTCAATACTCATAATACTTGTTTCTATAGGTGGGGAATTATGTTATTGTACTTGGCAAAAATAGACGTCAAACCAAGCCAAATGATATGAGTATCTCATCGCTGAAAAAGGTCACCTGTCAAAGGAGTACGTCACCACGTTTGTGCGAATCAAATTTTTTGCCTGAAAGGTCTGATGCAATTACAATAATATAACATAGCACTGTTATTATTGCATATAATATAGCATTTAAAGAGTCACGACCGACAAATGATTGTAACAACTCTGCTATTATTGTTAATTAATTGAATTTTTAGACAAGGAAACTTATCTACCGTGGACAAGGATGAAAATATAAATGGACGGCATGGAGCGTTCTCCAGGTCACATTCGCAAAATGCGCACGCTTCATCGCAAGCATCCAGTCTCCCAAGAACAGTACCATTTTACAGTGATAATACTCTGAGCATGGCCGCGTTTCGCGATCAGCCTCTGCGTTGTAATATGAAAATAAATAGACAACGTCAATTGGAATCGCTAAGGAGGATGGCAGAGAAAATTCGAATTAACACACAGCTGACGAAAGTATCCAAAAAGGCTGAGAACACACTGTCGATATTTGTATTGGACATTACCAATGTTCTTTCGGACGACTGCAACGCTTTGTGGATTCCCTTAAAGCAAAACGACCATACGGGCCCCGATGAGAGAATTCTGTATTCTCTTGTAGTGGGCAGGGGAGAACTGATAGTTTTTGGAGGAATTCGTAAAGAACGTTCGTTAGGCCAACCCGATGTAGACGATTCTGTAGTATATAATGATCTTCATTTTATCAATCCGCCTCGATATGTTATTTAATATTGAGAAGCAATTAAAAGTACTGTCATTGTCATATCGTTTTATGTTATTGCCACAATTTTGTTCAAAGATTTTATTTTTATCCTATGTAATCTTAAGAAAACAAAATATATAATATTAAATGTAGCAAAAGTGATAAGAAACATATGTTGATTATTTATATGAAATCAATATTTATATCAGAATTTATCTTTAAACTTTAAATACGTTTACAAAAAGATATGAGAATTATATACACAAAAAAATATAACAAAAATAAATAAAAATGAAAAGCTAAACAATTGTTATAAGTTTTTATAATATAAAGTTTAGAAATAAATTAATGGTTTATATTTCAGAAATGATAAATACATAATGTTGTAAAAAACAATACATTTTTAATAACATTATATGTATAGTTGCTACACAAATATTAATAACAATACTATTTTATTCGTAGTCGTCTTCAGTTTGGGCTGTTTTCAAACTACCAAATACTTGTGAAAGTATAGTCTGCCTCTCAGCGTTTGAAAATAATAAAACGTTAATAAAACATTAATAAGAGTTTGAATTTTTAACAATTTTCAATATTTCGGCCACGTCCAATTTTAATGAGATAGCAGATTGATTTAGAAAAATCTTATTAAAAAGATTTCCATGAAACTCTGAGTTGTCATCCCTGTGCTAAGTCACGTGTAAATTTGAGATCGGCATACTGTCTGCAGTTAATTATTACTCAAATTGAAGATTTGTAAAACAAATGGACGAAAGTACCGTTTAATTTCAATAATCTGTAGGTATATAAGTTTAATATTGTCTATTGTATGCATAGCGTTTACTGGAACGAATTCTTTCCAACTTTGCCGCAAGTTGAATGTAATGTCTGCATCATTAAATTTGAATTTCAAGTGAGCAAAGAATGAGTGGATATAGCGTTGTTGAAACGTATCGCCTAAGGGGGTGACGTGTGGCTCCGTGTGAGAGCCATCGATTCGAAATTGGCAGGTCCCAGGTTCGATCCCCCGTATATCTCGATTTTACGAGATAGTCCATAAGAGCAATTTGCGATGTTCGCAATTATACCCTGGTGGTTGACGATGAATTTATATCGACCGTTGTGAAGTGTTTGTTGATCATGTAATTTTCCTGCCTGTACGAAGTGCATGATCAATATATTGCTTGGGCCTTGCGATGATGCAATCGCATAATGTAAACTGTCCAAGTGTCAAAAATTCTCTCTTCTAGATTAGAAAATGTGCGAATCGCTCAACGTTCCGAGTGGAACCTTGGTGTAGGTATAGAAAATGAAAAACTTGCGCTGGTTAGACACGATATTTAATAAAAATCGTGAATGATACTATATAGTAAAAGACCATAATGTGTTTACAATTGCGGAACTAGCAAATAGTAAATAGGAAACGCCGAGTCGATTCCTGATTTACGATTTCCACTTCTGTACATTGTAAACATGATTTTACGGTATCGTCATCATTTGCGATTATTTTGTATTTTTTTCATGTATCTATTGGGTTTTTGGAACATTGTGTAATTTATATTTTATATGTTGCACGTACATCTTTTTTTTATATACACATATTGAATGTCGGTTAAGATGTCAATTTTTCAATTCTGAAACTTATACTTACATTCTTTAACAATACTACGAAATTTCGTGTCCATTCGGAAATATTTTAATCGAAAAATATGATAAAATATGCCCCAAGTACAAATTTCTTTTTGTATAGCGGAAGTTCCGGTCGCGCGCTTGCTGCGAGTGGCTGCGACCAGAAACGAGACGTTCTAGATCTCGAAGCTGATTGGCGTGCAATTCTTTTAGGTTACAAAAATAATACGGAGCTCTTTCGCCAAGCGGAAGTTTATATACATTTGTGGCTAACAGTGTCGTTTGGATTTGCGAAACAAACTGCAATATTGCGTTGCTGTAATCATATCCAGTAAACTTTGACGCGTGAGAGAAACACGCATGTCGCTGAGGCGTCCGGGCGTCGCGTGTGCGTGCGTCGGCGAAGCGGACGCAGAGAGGAGGAGCGACTTTTGATAGGAGTCCGAGGAGAGACGGCTGGAAGCGACAATGGATAAGATCGTGAGATCGTTTCATACCAGTCGGCCGGCGTTATATAGAACGTTAACGAACGAGCGATGCGCGCAGTAAGTAATTCACCCTTTGCCAAAAGATTTTTCTGCCGTGTTTCTGCCGACAAGCATAAGTTTGTAAACACTATATTTTTCAGGATGCCCAATAAACTTGCTGTGAAGCGAGATGTACCTGCGATCAGTACGATGTCATTGGCGCGAGACTATTCAACGTGAGATCAACAATTATTTGACGCGAGCGAATGACTAACAATGATCAAGCTTCTAATCGACCATGACTGGCGATGTGTTTTTCACACAGAAAATTTATTGCGAAAAGTATCACCTCAGCCAGGGTTTGAACCTGGACCTCCCTACGCTCTAGGCGGGCGATTTTATCGTTTTCTCCCATGTATACAGAAAACCATAGTGTACACTGTACACGAGTATCTTGGTCCAGATAGTCAAACCGAAACCAGATCTTGCTATAAATTTTGTCGAATTTTTGTTAGCAGAAATATATTAGAATTTTGTTAACGGGATGCCATTTCTCAACCAGCGTGCAGAATGTCAAGTACGCCAGCAATTTGTCGGCAGATTCGAGCGTGGTGTTACAGCAGGTTGGCTTCACCCATGCCTGCTCCCGATTCTACCAAATAGAAATCATTATGATTAATAGAATATATTGTTTAAATTGTAAAACGACAGATTCAGCAGTTTCCATAGTCTGTCATTGTATTCTCTTCGTGTTCACGAGTAAAATTTATAGCAGGTACCGCGCGAATCTTTCATGGATTTGGCTGTCTGCGGGAAGGAAGATTTAGGCCCGGTTTCACCGACGTTGTTTAACTTTAAGCTTTAGCTCAACTCGATCTTTGTGTCTTTCCAACTGTTACTTTAGAAAGAGACAAACGTGAATTAAACCAAGATTAAAGTTAGACGACATTTGGTGAAACCGGGTCTTGAATAACAATATAGGAAGTCGACTCTGGTTAACAGTTAACTGACGTTTGTGAAACTGGCCCTAAAAGACAGCGAGTCATTTATATATGTTATTTTCCAGAGCTCTGCCTAGCAGCGTCAGGCACTTGCACAGCAACGAAATCCCGGTTTATAGACTGACCTCTAAACGGAATCCCCTTATACACGAGCAACAGAGACGCAGCATGTTCGTCCAAACGCAGGATACGCCGAATCCGAACAGTCTAAAATTTATCCCGGGTGTACCGGTGCTGGGGGAGGGATGCACGAAGGACTTTCCGAGCGCCAAGGACGCGTACTGCTCGCCACTTGCGAAAATGTTGTTTCGCGTCGAGGGGGTGAAGGCGATATTCTTCGGGCCTGACTTCATCACGGTCACGAAGCTCGACGAGGATGTGGAGTGGAAGCTGCTGAAGCCGGAGATATTTGCCATCGTCATGGACTTCTTCGCGAGCGGATTGCCAGTCATGGACGAGAGCTCTCAGCCTGCGGCGGACACGCGTACGGTTCACAATTTAATCCTCGCGCGGTGTGCTCGAGGGATAAATTAAATGCCGATTGTTTTGTCCTTGTAGAAATTAACGCGGAGGACGACGAGATCGTGCAGATGATAAAGGAATTATTGGACACGCGAATTCGTCCCACGGTCCAAGAGGATGGTGGCGACATTGTATTTATGGCAAGTGTCCCGCTTAAATCTTGGGGCCTGAGCAGAATGGCTGTCTTGTATTCTTAAGTCACAAGAGTTGTGCGTTACTTTAAGACCAAAATTTAAAACATGAAACCTTAAGTGTACATGATGGCATTCAGGCCCTTAAAGGTCGTGTATTTTCATTCGGTAATCTCGAACGTAACACATTATTATTTCTTATAATCGCAACAGGGTTTCGAGGAGGGTATTGTGAAACTGAAGATGCAGGGCTCGTGCACGAATTGCCCGAGCTCGGTGGTAACATTGAGGAACGGCGTGCAAAATATGATGCAATTCTACATCCCCGAAGTGCTGGGGGTCATACAAGTGGAGGACGAGACGGACAAGATTGCAGAGAAGGAATTCCAAAAGTTGGAACAAAAGATTAGCAAAGACCAGAATAAAGATAAATAGACGCGATTAGTTTGAGACTTGCTGACGACAGCGGGCCTACGCGTAATCTTATAATTCTGTACATTGTAGACATCGTAGATTACGTATCGTCTAATTGTAAATAACAAGTCATAAATACTGGTTGAGAATTGATTTTAAGCTTTTATTACAAAGTGCTTATCTGCTAGATACGGAAACCTGCCAGACACGAATGGTATTGTCGGAATACCCGGCGAACAGTGTCTGGCCGTCGGTGGACCACGCGAGAGACAAGCAGAGCGGAGGCTCCGCTTTACTGGTCGCGGACACGACCTCGGGTTTGAGTTCCTCGACCATCTCTTTCGTCTCGAGATCCCAGATTTTAATCCACGGTCCGAACGCGGCGCACAGCCAGTAACGATTAGGGCTGAAGCACAACGCCGTAATGATGTCGTTGTGATCCAACGTGTGGAGATGCTTGCCGTCATTCAGATCCCACAGCATAGCTTTGCAGTCCTGCGAACAGAATCGAATGTTTGTACGCTCGGCGCGTTTCGATAAACGCGACACGATGAATATCACACGCACCTTTCCACCCGATGCGCAGAGTGATCCGTCGGGTGATACCGTCACGGTATTCAAATATCCCGTATGACCGCTGTGATTGATCTTCAGCCTGCAGTTCGTCAAGTTCCAGACCTGAAACGGAATGTGAATCGTTCCGGTTACTAACGAACCTATCGCGCGAGCATCAAGTATTATTTGGCAGCCAAAGTCAGTCCCATATCCGCATACACTCATAGAAATATCATGTGTACAATATATGTAAGTTCTCCATCATCTTTATCCAACATTTTGCGCTCTCGCGTTCGCGAATCTTCCAAGCCCCGTTCTTACCTTGACGACGCGATCCCAGCCCGCGGAGACGATGATGGGATTCGCGTGATTCGGGGAGAAGCGCACACAGCTGACCCAGTCTGTGTGTCCGTCGTCCTGAATGGTGTACTTGCACTCGGCCAGGGTATTCCACAGTTTAATCGTCTTGTCTCGCGAGCCGGAGACAATCTGACGATTGTCCACGGAGAAGGCGACGCTCAAAACATCCTGTATTTGACGGAAACAGACCTCGCGATCAATTAATAAAGCGATACATGTACGCACTGTCCGTTAATTCGGTAAACGTCGGGTCGATACTTACGGCATCGCCGATTAGACAGTGCCTACCTCTTCTATTTCTCAATATAAAAAAAAATAAAAAAAAAGCTTCAGGGTACACGTCATATTTCCCGCGAGACTATTTCGTCATAATTAAAGGCTACGGTCAAACTGCCGCTACAAGTGCTTCCAAGTGTTCTCCTCTTCCTTTCTTTCAGTAAAGGCAAAAGGAGAAGAGAAACGCTTCGGTGCATTTGCAGCGGCAGCTCGACCGCAGTCAAAGACGAGCGAAAAGAAAATCTCATATTACAAAGCGACAATGTCTTTGTAACATGGAAGATTTATCCTTCGTCTCAGTTACGAGGAAAATTCGAATCGTGCGTCGTCGCGATGAGCGGAGTCACACCTTGGTATGGTCCTCGAATCTTCTGGTCGTGCGACCAGCCGCCAGGTCCCAGAGGCGCAGGGTTTTGTCCCACGAACCGGACAGGGCGTAGTTGCCGTCGGACGAGAGAACTACATCGCTGATAAAGTGCGAGTGACCATAGAGACGCTTCTGCGGGATACCATAGTTGGCTTCGTCACGCGTCAATTTCCATACGATCAGAGTCTTGTCTGGAATGGAAAACGGCGACACGTGAAGCATCAATACGGATAATTGTTGGCTTGATACACTTTATAAAAGACTGGAGAATTTGAAGATTATGGGTAAGAGAACACGAGAAGAATTGTACATTCCGTAAACGATAAACCAACACATACAAGTAAAATACAGATTTTGTGTAAAAGTTTAAGCGAAGCCGCCCATAGTTAAATAATTGCTGTAACGAACAGATGGATGGAATATTACACATGTGTAAAGCTACCTGCTTGAATCATATTTTGTGGTACGATAAAATTATAATTTAAAAAAAGTTAAATTAAAAAAGTTCCGTACTGGTGGACTAGAATACAGGTAAGAAATCAGAATTTCACTGTAGAATCGTGAAAAGATGGAAGACCGGGTGGGACGAAGTCTCGGTATGGTACCAGAAACGGGCGATACTTGCCACGTGAAGACGACAGTATCATATCCGGATATTTCGGATTCGTTGCGATTTGCGTGACCCATCCATTGTGGCCACGAAGCGTGCCTCTTAGCTGTAGAGTCTCGGTCATTTTGAATCACTCTTGGCTACGTTATATCGCCGATTGCGACGGATTAGTCCGTGCGTACCGCGCCTCTCAAAAGACGAACGTGAAGGAGCGAGCAACGCGCCGAGCACGCCGCTCAATTCTTCGCCGATGTTCATGAATACATTGATGCGCCGCCTACTAAATCGTGGGCATCGTGGCGCGTCACGACACTTAAGACTAGTTCACATGCGTTCGCCGTTTAACACAGGCAATGGCTGCGTTCAGCAGACACAACTGTTGAGTGAGCGCTCAGTATGATTGGTTAATACTTTTAGATCCAGCCAATCATATTGAGAAATCATCGTTGTGCCTGCTGAACGCAGCTAAAGCCTATCACACAATGCGAGGCAACAGGCAACAGGAATAGGGAATAGAATTTTTGACGCGTTGGATTGGTTGAAGGAAAATTTCCGACGAATCCAACGCGTCAAAAATTCTATTCCCTGTTCCTGTTGCCTGTTGCCTGGCATTGTGTGATAGGCTTAAAGCTTATGTTCTTTTAAACAGCACTTCTCTTTTCTCCCATTTTTTTCTCTTTGGCGAAAAAGAAATGAAAAGATAAATGGCCCAAAAGATCAACTAAGAAGAACGGACTTGGCGACGTTCAGCAGGCACACAACTGTTGAGTGAGCGCTCAGTATGATTGGTTAATACTTTTAGAACCAGCCAATCATGTTAAGAAATCATTGAGCGCTCGCTCAACAGTTGTGTCTGCTGAACGCGGCCAATATGATTGGCTGGATCTAAAAGTATTGACTAATCATACTGAGCGCTCACTCAACAGTTGTGTCTGCTGAACGCGGCCATTAACAACGGCCGATCACGGGCTGATTGGTGCATACCGTTGGATCCAGCGAATCGAATCACGAGACGAATTTTGTATCGCTTCGCGTACGTCGAACCATGGTGGAAAAAGCAAGGTGAAGCATTCCCGACGCTGCGCACTCGTTCAATTTTTAAGAGCCAATCATCGCGCGACCCATTTTGCAAGAAAAGTAATATGGCTGCTTCCATCAATGCGTTTGATGCAAAATGGGTCACCTTCTGATTGGTTTAACCGCCAAAGCTGCCGCCATTATGCGCAATGCTACACCTTGCTTTTTCCACCATGCGTCGAACGGCACACCAGTTCACGTCTATGGTGTACGTGATACGTGTCGATGATCCGTTCCCTCACGCGCTCGGCGGACGTCAGAATCATCGGTGGGATTGTCGGTGATGAGTCGGTGGCCGTGTTGCGGCCAGTCGCTCCTCGTGCAATGATCGACGTGTCATCGACCAATTAATAAACAGTCGGATCGCTGGTGGATCGGTTCGGTGGATCATTCATCCAGGTATGCGGTCCGCGGGCGTTCCCGGCGGTTCAACGATCGCGGCAGTTCGACGTTGACAATTTGAAAAGAGCCACTGGGCGTGATTTACACGCGCAAAGTATACACCTTGCGTGCCCGACTTTGAGCTCGATCAAGCGCTCCATACTTCCTCCCGACGTGTCTCGAGAGAGAGAGACGCTGGGAGACGTTGAAACGTCACGTCGATCTTCGGCAGGACCGATCGTTGTTTTGCATATTGTTAATCCGTTCGCGTAATAATGACGTTGTATTCTCAAGATTGTCGGACGTACATTCATTTCTTAACGTTCGCAAGCGGCCGCGAGTGATGATCCCGAGAAAAATCGCTCGGAGTCGAATTGTCGCGGTATTTATGCTAAGAGTATAATGCAACAGTGACATTTGTATTTGTCGATTTAGCAATGGCCACGGGTGGCAGTAGTTTTATCAGTAAACCAGCCAGAGGATGGTTGCATCCGGACCATCTAGTGAGTAAGGACGGGATCAGTTACACAGTGAAGGTACGTTATCTGTTATTTCATTGATAAGACACACCTAGGCTGCGATCAAGCTGCTGCTGCTGCTGCTGCTGCAAATGCTTCCAAGCGTTTCTCTTCTCTTTCTATTTTTACTGAAAGAAAAGAGAAGAAGAATATTAGTTAAAAATGCGAATAGCCGATCGACTTGCAATTTGTCTGTAATAGAATTTTCGCGTACGTTTCTCCTTCGAATGAATTCAAGAATCGAGCCTCAGGAGCTAGATAGATGCTTGGATTCACTCGCAGGAGAAACGTATGCGCGAATTCTTGCAGAAAAGTTACAAGTTGATTGGCTAAACTAATAACCAATCGACTATTCTGCAAGGGCAGAATTTGCGCATACTAAAAGTGAATAGCTTCGTCGCTTTCTAACAGTCTCCTTAGAGGCAAAGCCGCTCACTTTTCACTATTGTAAGATACAGAATTGATCCCCAGGTGTTGCCATGCTCATGGAAAAAATTTTCATCTGAAAATGTTCACTGTCGCGTTACTTTTAATAAAAAGGTTTAAAAAAAGACGCCAAGTATAAGCGTCATTCAATCAAGAATTATACATATAATTAAATTATTTGGATCTTTTATTTAAAAAAACATTTTTATCTCCTGCCCCCTAAGTATCTTCTCTACAAAAGTAATGATATCATCAAATGGCGCCAACTAAACTGAATATACAAATTACGTACTTTATTATTTTTTATATTAGAATGTTATATCCAAACAATATTAAGCATAAAATTTTATCGGAAGAAATAAAGGAAGTAATAATATTAATGAGACCAATTTTTAATACTTACTCAATAATGCAAACAAATTTAATCACTATCACGTTACTTTTAATCCTTTGCGTCCGATAGTTCAGCTATACTCGGCATCACATTTCATTCCAGACTGTCGAGTTTGATATGAATATTTCCAAGAGTTTATTGTATTTCTTTACATCATTCCCCATCTTTAAATAACGACACGTAATAAAATCCAGCCTTTTCAGAAATAAAGGTCTCTTATTTGATTATCGAGTTATTATAGAATGAGGCGTTGCATTTATTACATAGTGCAAACAGTTGATATTTCATTTTTTATGTTTCTAATTTCACGAAGTCGCTATTAGCGCTGAAAAGCGTCATTCTATCTTTGATAGACGATACTTTTAGCGTTAATAGCGCGCTCCGCGAACGCACCGTAAATATCATCGAGGAGTCAAATTTTCATTTTGGTTTCACACATTAATTTATATTAATATGTATTGAATTTTTCGCATTTATATATTAATTTATATACTTGGATATATTTTATATTAACTCTTGAATATATGTATTATTATTATATTTACTTCTAAGGATTATTTTCCTGTCTATTTTATGGTGACTCTGATATTTACACGTTGGCATCAATTCTGTATCTTACAATATAGTGAAAATGCTAAAAATGAGCGGCTCTATCTCTTTCCAAGGGGAGAAAGAGACAAAGCTACTCTAGTAAATTGAACCCCTTGGCTTTATTGGCCTATATTCTGAATCCTTTTCTATCGATACAAGTGTCTGGACACCATCTTTTCAGCTAATAAAAATCCGACTAACTTTTATCAATAAAAGGGGATCCAGAATACGAGCCCTTTGTATTCATCGACATACTTTTGAATTGTATTTATAGAAAAGAAAAATAATATATTTTACGGTTCCGGAACATGCGAGAACAGAGCAGCTATTTGTCTTTCGAGGAAAGTTCTGTTATTACCTCTCTTCCCTTATCGCATCTCAGCAACAAAGTTCATAAAAAGGTTTTTCAGGGCAGAGCTTGAAGCTTCTAGGCTCTTTATATTGTTGCACGTGAGGAATGTTCGTGCTTCAAGAGCGTGTCTGTATTATTCTGAATATTAAAGTACTCATTGAAATTTATTCTTTCCTTCCTTGCCGTTATATTAGCAATAATTGGAATTAATATTTTTCCAATACATTATCTTCCACGGTAATATTTTATCGTATTTTATTTATTTTACGTAATTTTTTCAATATTTTCCATTTTATATACTGTTAATATAAATTCCTGCCAAACACACACATATATAATACATGCATTATTACTATACATAGTGATTATGTAATAATAGATTTTGATATTCATAAAATTGTTAATATGCTTTTTTTTAGTATGATTTAGTACGACGAGTTCTCAGACTTGCCTCATTAAAGTTTACTTCAGGAGGCTGTGATCCTATCACTCTTGAAGCACGAATGTCTCTGGGGTAAAGCGTCACACCTTAGCTATTAGAGATGAAAGCGACAAGGGAAGGGCAGTAAGCGCCGGGAAATTAGTTGAGAAATGTCACCTAGTTCCAAGTACCGGAACGATGATCCAACTTTATTCACTTTATTCGTTACATTTGTTTTTTTTTTAAATTACAGTATATCGGATGTCTCGAAGTATATACGTCGATGAAGAGCTTAGATTTTGAAACGCGCTCGTGCGTAGCTAAGTAAGTTACCAAGCACGATTTTGAATTACAACGCGCTTTGTCGTGGATATTTTCGAGCGTACAGTAAGCAGCCTTTTACCTTGTTTTTAGGGAATGCATAAATAGAGTTTGCGAGGCTGCCGGATTGAAGTCTGCTGACAAGAAAAGAAGGGTACTAGACCTCATAGAAAATTATTATACTTGTAGATGATCAGAGGAAAGTCCCCTATTATGGGACAAGTTTCTAATATAAGATAGCGGGGGGGGGGGAGGTTCTGTTGAATTAATAAGCATCTATTGGTTCCACCATGAATATATTTGATTACTTTTGGAGCGAAATCTGTTAACGGAAAATTCATTGCGATATCGTGTAATCGTCGCGAAGAAAAATTTTTTATTGAATTTGGACGTTGAAAACCTGCTATCTCGCATTAGAAGCCTATCTCATGATAGCGGACTTTCCTCTATATTTATCTTTACAATCTTCATTAAATTTCTCCCGAGCAGGTTGACAGGAAAGTGCTGAGAGCCATAGCGGATAAGCCTCGCATGGAGCACAGCGCTGCTAGCATTACTTTAACCATTAGTAGTTGCAGTTTATCCTTGACTAATATTGAGACTGGACATATTATTGCGAAACATGATATGCCACGCATATCCTTTGCTTCAGGCGGTGATACGGTAAAGAGCATACATGCGCACATTGCGTACTATCTTTTATACATTTCATCTGGCTATATTTCTACATGTGTGAATTATAGCTGTATAAAATTAATAATGACCACAATATTCGTCAAATATGAATTATATTAATATATAGCTGTGTAATTTAATTTTTTACACGTATTGTGTCGCTTTGAAAATTAATGCTACGTCGTGTTATGTAACAGGAAATACTGGATTTCGTTGCGTATGTTGCTAAAAATATGCAAGAATGGCGCGCTTGTTACGTGCTCGAGTGCACAGGTGGTTTAGCGCAGGATGTTATATCTACTATCGGACAAGCGTTCGAGCTCAGGTTTAAAGAGTTTCTTACAAAACCAAGTTCTCTGCAGTAAGTTGTGGAAATGACGTTTCTAGATCAAGAGTTATAACGGCGTTTACTTACAATTTTGCGTATTTGCTTGTTAGCCCCGTGCTGAACGGTGTCAGAGAGGCGGACAGGGATTATTACAACGATTTGCCGGGGAAAGTACCGCCGGATATTGGCCCACCGCCAGTACCTCCTTTGCCTACAGCATCCACACTGCCTAATCTGAAGCATCATCAAAATCATGCGTCGCGCACTCACGCACAAAGTACCGCGGTTGATTCATTCCCGTCTGCCGCGGACAGACATCAGCAGTTGGCAGGTAATATTCTTTTGCAAAATGCTTCTTTGATGCGGGAAGATTTAATAATGAATAGTAATTTAATTTTTACATTATAAATTTCTTTTTTACTTTTATTCTTATACTTTATCTTGTTTGTTTGCAGAAACTGGGAACCTGATTGATTTAAACTCAGATAACACTATATCTCCAGCAGCGAATTTAGATATAATGTCTGAGCACAATTATGTGAATGACAGTGTCATAGCTGCAAACAGAGACAATCATCGTGACCCGGCGTCACTTTTTGACGTTTTCGATATGCGTAAGAGAATTACTGCTTTATTATTCTCGCTCATAGTAAAGGTTCAAAGTTCCCAAATTATGAGGATTTCAAAATAATGTTGGCTTATTTTGATAGTTACAATTTGTCGTATAACTACGTTACAATTACAAGTATATTTTTATATGAAAAAATTGATTCTAATATTAAAGATATCCATTTTCAATCTTAACTTTTATTTGTTTATTGTACTTATATTAGATTTTATATATAAATCACAGAGCCGTTCAGTTCTGCAATATCGGATATGAACAGACTAAGTCCCCGATCACAGAAACAGCAGTTGAAACAAGAAATTTGGTTTCACGGAAGTGTTAGCCGATCTGAGGCGGAATCTATGCTTACCAGAGTAAGTATATTTTTATCGTGGAATGTAAAAATCTCTTATCGTCCGATATATAAAGTTATATTTGCTTTTTATTTCACTTTGTAAGGATGGCGATTTTCTGGTTCGAGAGTCACAAGGTTCTCCCGGTCAGTACGTTCTGACTGGAATGAATAATAATACCCCGAAACACTTGTTGTTAATTGACCCTGAGGGCGTCGTAAGTATAACATGAAATTTATATGACAAAATTACGAAAAATTGAAGCTTGCAATCGGTAACTACTAAAATACCGACTATAAACCTGCACTTGGATACTTTTCTGAATTTTAATCATACAGAGCAGCACAAATTTTGATTTACAGGTCCGCACAAAAGATCGTGTATTCGATAGCGTAAGTCATTTGGTGAATCATCACTGTGACAACGTGTTGCCTATCATATCGGCTGACAGTGTTCTAGTACTACGTTATCCCATACCCAGGCATACAAACTACTAATTTTAAACGTTGAACATTGACTAAAGGGCATGGACTTGGCAAAGATTGTCCGAATAGTTATTTTGTGTATCTTTGCACGTGAGAATCTTTGACAAGTTTTGGCTTTTTGTAATATTTTTAAAAAATCAAGTCACTTCATACAAAAGATATACATATGTATAATGGTTTGTAGTATCTTTATATTGTACCATAATAGATGATTCTTGAATATTTTTCTCTGTGAATCTCCTTACGAAATGTGCCAACCTAGCCAAAGTAATATAATTTTCTGTATTTATCATAGTTAAGAGGATCTCTCAGCCATCTTTTTTTACTGACACGGTTAAATATGGTTTTTGCTGTTTTTGGCCAATAAAAAGAATTACAAGCATAAAAACTATATTTGACTGTGTCGATAAAAAAAGATGGTTGAGGGATCCTTTTAAGCACATTCCGAATTTTTGTATAGAACGTTAAAATCTAATTTATGACTTTGGATTTATGTAAGATTTATATACGTAGAGAAATTTTATATATAACTATATTTTAGATATAGAACATGCTTTTTATATTGGACATTGTTGCAACCCCATCTTTCATGCAAGAATAAAAATAACTATAATAAATATAATTTCGTGCAGTATATTGTAATTTTATTTATAAAGAAATCTAGACTAACCTTTTCATTTCTTTTTAGTATATTTATTTGCAATTCCAATGTTATAGATAATCGTTTTTGCTATTATAAAATTGTTAGATTAAATAATTAACATCTACTAATAAACCTGTTGGGAATTTTTGTTCTGAATTTTTCACATACATTTTTGTATATCAATATTTTTTTCTAAATGCTCTTTTATAAATTTTATTTAAATACTTAATAGATATTTTTATCTTGGGATCGTTTTTATGTGATAATAAATAATTACTTAGGTGAAAAATAGTATTTCACAATTTTTTTATAAACTACACTTTATTACAATATTATTTTACACGTAATTACAACACTAAATTTATTTACAATAACGATCAGCTTTCATCTTGCTTCTCCTATCTAACAAAGTTTCATGCAAATTTCCATGTACTTTCGCCTTCTCCAACTCGGAATGATCGGATCTGTTTATCCTTAGCTTCTTATCTTGGAACTTTTGAAACTTTCGCCTGTAAAATGAGATATTATTTATCAGAAAGGTGTACTTTTAAATATTTAGCAGATTAAAAGATAGAAATTAACAACGGAACAGTTCACGTAACATGCAAAAATTCTAATAAGATATAAATGGGTTTAATCAATAATTTTACGATTTGTTATAATTGTTGATAAAATTTAACATCATACTTACACATAATTCACTTCAACTTCTGCAAGTGAGCCTTGTTCTTCTTTCGGAATATCCTTACTAGGACTCTGAGAACGTTGTATTATACTTCTTATAATAATATACTCTGACGAACCAGCTGTTCTATTCTGGCAAACTATGTCGTCATCGTTTGTAACAGACATGAAACATCCGGTATTATTTAATATAGCGAGCTTGCCATCCTGCAAAACAATTCAAATTCACAATCAATATACTTAAAGAGTAATGCAAAATAGTTTCTATTTAAAAATAGACATGTAATAAAATAACATATGCCACTTTTTGTTTACAGTAACAAATAAGATATTACAGTAAAAAATCTATAATTCTGTTTGACAATGTTCTAATTAATTTCTCTGATAACAGATAAAAGAAAAGACGGATACTTTTGCAGTTTTTGATAAAAAGATTGACTCGAAAGAGACACGTGCAAAATAATTTTTTAATTAAACGATTCATGTCTATTCAGATATCTCTAACTTACTTGAAAAATTGGTTCCCACTGTTCGATAGAACCGACTGCGTCGCTTCGTCCGACAACGACACCATTTTTATCGACCCCAAGATATTTGCCGTATCCTGATTTCAAGGCGACCTTAGTCTCGCTTATGGGAAACGCTGTTAATATTTCCTCCGGCGATGGACCCTCTCCTTCGTCGTGCGGTGCCCCGAGAGTAAACAATCCGTTATCCAGTGCCTTCATGTAAGCTTGGTTCCCAAATTCAATGGCCACTGTCCCGGTGATTTCAGCTACATTCTTAACCTTCCACCATCCTCCTATAAAACAAAATCGTCATCAGTATACGTTGCAGACATTTTACGTAAAATAAAAAATTCGCATATGAAAACGTCTTAGATCTTCCTAAAAGCATTTGATATCTTTCAGGTGTAGAAACACAGGATTGGAAAAGAATTGCCACTCGTTACTCTAAAATCCGTTACGGAGTTGGATCATTTATACATAATAGGCTTTCATGATCATTTTACAATGCGGAACCAAAAATCGCGAAAGCAATGCTTGATTTCTCGCATAACTGCATCCGTAACTGCAATTGTAATGTAATTTGATGTTGCTACGCACAGAAAGCAGGGGACAATGTGAGGTTTCTGCTTCGCGTGGAAAGCCCTGGATCATTGCACATGGCTTTCCGACTTTGCACATCTCAGTGAACACCAGCTAATATTAGGATCCTATGTTATAATAGAGGACTTTCCTCTAAATGTGCCATCTTTGGCATTGCGATTATTTATAAGTTTGCGAAGAGGGTAAGTAAGATTATACAGTGGACTCTGATTAACTTAGTATCGCATAAATCGATGATAAAAAGCTACTAACCTTTGAAATAAAATGCAGGTATACTACATAACCCTAACGCGACGTTTTGAAGACATTTTAATTTTGTAAAAGAAAACCGTCGGCAACTTACATAAGTCGATTATAGTTTTCAGAGCACCGAGCGGCGAGTTCTCTTTTTCAGACGTTCGTTTTGACGCAAACGGAAATCGAATTGAATACTTCTATCAAAATACAAGGAACCAAGCTTGACTTGATAAAAAAATTAATAAATACCATGACTAAGAGTATCTTTATCCTCCACAGTGGCATCCTGCTCCCTTTCTTGTTTCTTAGACTTTCGTTTCTTCGGCCTGGAAACAACGAATATAAAATAATGAAAACATTTGCAAAGGAACGCGAATAAAATTATCGAATTTGAAACGATGTTTTTTTTTAGGTTTTTTTTCTCTACAGAAACGCCGTTGAACCGCTAGGTTAGGTTATTTCGCGTTTGAGACGGTAATAAAGGAACGCGGGGTTATACCTTAATCTTTCGCCTTTCAATATCAACTTTCCCGTCCGCACTTTATCATATTCCGACATCTTAACAAATTCTTCAAACCCTTACTGCAATATCAATCGCACAAGAGAAACAAATTCGACTAGCGAATACTGCCCAGGAAACACAAGAATGGCTTCTGCACACACACACACAGTGTTCCGATTGTTCCGAATCGGGCTAGGCTGCATGGCGATCGCACGACTGCGCATGCGCGTGGAAGGGGGATACAGTGACGTACGCATGCCACTGCGCGTGAGCTCGAAACACAGGTAAGTTCTGAGTTTTCATGTAAAAGAAAAGCGACTAAAAGTTATAAAGTAAAAATTTATTACGCGTAGAAAACAAACAGAAATTTCTTAAATTTATATTAAATAACTTCCTGATTCTTAATAACTATACATTTGTATCTAGCTTCACTTGGCACTGGGAACATATTTACCAGGCAAGACTGCTCTTCGTTGCAAGGATATTATGAAACAGATCTCTTACTCCAACCATCCTATTATCGCCGCATTATACATGTCAATAGGTTGATAGTTTTAACTTCACATATTACTTGTGTATTTCTAATATTAGCGATTAACAATTTGCGTGATACCAATATAAAGTGAAAAATAATTCTATTGCAAGAGAAATGTATTTACGTCATCCTTTAAAATATTGGCTAAATGTAAAAAATGGCAAATACTTTAAGCAAACACTTTGCTCACGTTATATAAATAGTTTTTATAAATTAACATCGTAATCACTAGTGTATTATTCATTTCTCTTGTTTTCATCGAGGAATTGAGGGCTAACTCAAATCAAAGAGTGCTGTCACCTAACGAGTTATTTATGCCGCTTCTGTCGTCTTCAATTTGCTCCTACAATGAAATGCATAACAGGTCAAGTAACGATTCAATGTTGAATATAATATTGGTATAATATTACGGGCAATATTACCTGTAGTACTTCGACAAATGTTTTCGTCACGTCCAACATTTCCTTGTAGACACGATTTTCCTCTTCCAACTTTTCAATATACTGTGCCAGTTTCTCATTTTCTTCTATGGCATTCACAAGCGCCATTCGTCTTCTTTCAGCCACAATTTGCCAGTAGTTTTCGCTAGGCTCGTCTAAATCAGGCAAATAACAAAAGTAAATACCCTGATAACAATTTATCTCCTTGACATGAAATCTGGATTGAAAGTATGTATAAAAAAATGTAAATAACGAAAAAATAAAATTGTTTCATGTATACCTGATGTTAAATCTTCTACTTCAATTTTCGCTTTTTCCTCTCGTGCAGTCTGGACAGCCTTGCTTATCTTAGTCATTTTTGTGCACTTAGCAGTATCCTTCTCAACATTTTCTATTGCGTACCTACAATACATCTTGTATTTATAATTCACGTTTACTTTTTGATGCTTTGTCATATTATCGTATTATATTAGTGATAAGTTGTTCTAAGATAACTTACTGTTTTGTTTTTGTTTTCGTCTCTTTTGACTTAGCAAATCTAAGAATCCTGTCAGCTCCAACTAAAGTTTCGTTATCAGTGGCTGCTGGTTGCAATATGTGCAAAGGCTTTCGGTCCTTAGTCTGTTGAGAGAAAAAAAAAGAATTACTACGCTTGTATCTCATTCTTTCTCCTCTCTCATTTCATTTGTATTCTGTTCATTCGCTTTTTGTCTAAAAAAAATAATACGCATTTGACGTTTCAAACATGTCAATTTCCTCTTCTGGTTTTTCCAGTACTTTCACTATTGGCTAATATTTAATGATTTTGGATAACAACTCAGTTATTGTACTGTCAAAATGCGCATTTTTAATTGTTGTGGCGGAGATAAACATACTAACCTTAGGAGCGACTGTTTTGACCGGTTGTTCCATTGTACTGCCTTCGAGAATCAAAGGAAATTCGCAAATGTAAAGTAACGTTAAGAAAGAGACCGACTAAACTGTGGCAAACGTGTTCTCCTGTTCATGCACACAATTTTGTCTACCGGCCAACTGTTGAACTCGTTAACATGTATAACACGAGGAGCTGTTTTCGGCACACGAGAACTGCGAAGCACAACCGATAACCGAATAACCGATTTAAAGCCCGCTGCAGACGATGCTGG